CTCGGACTCAATGTCTCCAACCTCCCCCGGGATCTGGTCAAAGCTCTGCTGGAGGTGGGAGTTAAAGATCTCTCTGACCAAATGATTAATCAGTAATTAATAATAATATTAATTATATTATATGACAAAGCAGACCTTGTAAAATGCTAAGCGGGCCTATGTGAAGATGCAAAACAGGCCATCCTGTTAAAGATGCAGACATTATGTCTCCACAAAGTTCTAGCAGACAGTTCCTACTCAGTAGTTCTTGACAATCATCAATACAGTTGTAATATATATAATCAAGAAAAATAGAGGTAAAAAAAGCAACTAAAGCTTATAAAATTCAAATATTATAACACAACTGTAGTTGGCCTCATTACCAATAATGATGAGGCCAACTATAGGAGTGAGGTGTGCCAACTGGTCCAGTGGTGTAAGGACAACAACCTCTCCCTCAGTGTGGGGAAGACTAAAGAGATCGTTGTGGACTTCAGGAGAAAAACTCTAAAGCATCCACCACTGACCATCAATGGTGCTGTAGTGGAGAGAGTGAGCAGTACCAAGTTCCTGGGGGTGCACATCTCTGAGGACCTCTTCTGGACCAACAATACCACATCCCTGGGCAAGAAAGCTCAAACACGCCTCTACTTCCTCCACAAACTGAGGAGAGCCAGTGTCCCACCCCCCATCAAGTCCACCAGACTTACAAATAGCTTCATCCATCAGATTGTGAGAATGCTGAACGCTGTGCATTACCTCTGCCCCTGGACCGTAACCGACCACAGAACATAAAAAGACTACCCCTGCTGTTTGCACAAACTCAATACATTCCCCCTTTTTGTTATATTACATGTGAATCTGCTGCTGACTGTTCTTTTTACTGTCATATCTGCTGCTGTTGGTCATTTGCACTACTGTCCATGTACATTTCATAAGCTATTATGCATCCCATCACCAACACTCCTGGTAATGCTGACCACCTGACAATCTTCTTGTTAGTATTTGCAGTACTGTCACTGATTGCACATGGCTTTGAGTTTCATCATAGCCTATTAGTTTTTACCATCTAGTTTATCCTTATTACTTGAATTCAGTTTTTAAGGAGAGGAGAACTCATCGGCCACTGTTCATCCGGGGGCTCGAAGTGGAGAGAGTGTGCTGCTTCAAATACCTGGGCGTCCACATCAGTGAGAACCTCACTTGGACACATAACACCACACAGCTGGTCAAGAAGGCCCAACGGCGGCTGTACTTCCTGAGGAGGCTGAGGAGGTTTGGCATGTCGCCTAGGATCCTCAGCAACTTCTACAGCTGCATCATTGAGAGCATCTTGACCAGCTGCATCACTGTCTGGTATGGCTGGAGGTTCAGAAGTGTGAAATGCAGGACCACTAGACTGAAAAACTCTTTCTTTCCCTCTGCCATCAGACTCCTAAACAGCTGAGGAGTTTATTACCAGGAAATACGTGATGTACTGTTTACATTCTCAGTTTGCACATGCATAATTGCACATTGACTGTTGACTGCTGCACATGCTGCTCCCATGCAACATACATTCTCTTATATGTATTTTTATTATATTGCTGCATTTGCTGCTTAAAATGCCTTAGATTTTGTGTTACTTATTTATCTACTTTATATTTCATTTGTTTTTTGTGGACGGCAAAGTAAGAATTTCATTGTACAGGGAAACACGTTTCCTAACTGTGCATATGACAAATAAACACTTTGACTTGACTCATGTTCTGTGTTTATTCTACTTTTATTCTATTTTAGTTTCTTAAATGGTATGGGCATTCAACATTAGGTGAGAGAGAAACAGTATTTCGAATTTTCTGTGTCCTGCACATATAGTGAATTGACAATAACCTTTTGATCTTGATCTAATGTGTTTGTTCTGGTAACATTAGCAGCCTAGCATGGTTATGATTTTACTCCTGTATTGAGTTAATATGATTTTAATTTGGGAGTGTTGTACTGGACTCATTAGTAAGCGAATGCCGGCTTCGGAGTGGAGGCTGCATTTTGTACAGTTTATCTACTTTAAAATATTTATCAACTCGATTTCAATCATGATCATCACATGCTAAAAAAAATACCCCAGATTGGTTGTTTCAGCCATCCAGCCTTCATCAGTCGCTCAGTGTTGTTGATCATTGGTCAGAATGGTTGTGCATTGAATGACAGTTGTGATGTGTTTGAGCGTCCCAAATGATATAGACAAATCACTCTGTGTGTGCAGCATCACTAACTATGGCGGAGTGAAGTGAACTTTAATTACAATGCTGACATTGTTTGTGCTTTGTTTCGCTCCAGCAGACACCGGCTCGTGTGGTTTGTAGATGAGCTGAATATGTTGTTGTTGAAGGTCTAAACATCTGTCTGATATGTGTAGATGCATCATTTATTACAAAGATTAAATTACAGGTAATTGCTATAGCACATACACACTGTGTGTCTGTCCATTCCACATGTCATCTGTAAGAAGTGTAGTAAGAGATAATTATTGACAGGACAGGCACCAGAGGATCATACTTACCACTTTTCAGGTATCTAATGTGTGAGTTCAGAGCTCTGTTAGTGCGTGTATTTAATGTGAAATAATTTTTGGAGTGGTCTTATCTGCACTATAATGAACTTAAAGCCCCTATAATCCAAACATGATGAACACTTTGTTAAAGCTTAATCAAATTGTCACTAAATTCAAAATAATCCCACCAGAAAGTAAGAGAATTATGCTAATTTGAATCTGTCTGTTCATTCACTAACCTCTGACTTTTATAAAAGGACTTGCACTGATCCTGATCTGACCCCAGAAACACACGCACACGCACACACACACAAACTTTACCGGCTCACATTAGTGAGTTAGTGTGTGTGTGTGTGTGTGTGTACGTAAGGCAGGTCCAGCCTGGCTGCACTGTCATGCACCTACAGTAAACCTTTTTGATGATTGGAGCACTGTGACAGCATGTCTCACGTCTTACAAACCAGTCATTCATTACAGATTAATGGCGAAAATAATCAGCAGATTAATCCGTAATGAAAATAATCAATAGTTGCACTTTGATAAAAACTAGTTCAACAGAGCTTCGCCTCAACTAACTACAGCAGTAAAATACTGCTTGTATATCAGTGCATGAGTGATAAGCTATTAATCAAATGATATATAATCGTATAGCAATGTAGGGTGTATAGTACAACATTTTTTCTGCTTTAAGTAGCTTCTACTTTAATACTTTAAGTACATTTTCATGATACTTTGAACATTACTTGTAACAGAGGCTACTTTTACTTAAGTAAAGGATGTGAATACTTCAGCTGCTGGTGCTAAGATACAAACTAAAATGCTTTAGTTATACATGCACGTTTTAAAAATCATGTTTTTAATTTTTTTTTATTCTTCAGGATCAGTCTAGCACTGTAATCCAGTCACTTGCAATAAAAACACCCTGTTTTCATTCCTTTGAGGGTTGTTGTAGCTGATAATAGTAATTGTGTAATGTGAACCCGTGATATTTTCTGTTTTCATACCAGGAAAATCTCATACCATTGCAGCCCTAAAACACACAGTTGACGTGCAGCATTGTTTTCTGAAATGTTTTTTAAATCTTGTGTTCTTTGCAGTCACCTTAGGGACTTGCAGAGATGACAAAATCACTTTCTTTAGTGCTGCTTTAAGTTAAGTGTTCAGATTGCATAGTGTTTAACATTAAGGCTCTTTGGCTCATACAGCAGTTTTTTTCGGATGCTGTTACCTCTGCTGGTCCCAGCCTCATCGCTGTAATAACACGTAATTGGTTTTCTGCAGCAAAAACATTCATGCAGATATCCCGCTTGTCTGACAGAAAAATGAATGTTAGATTACACAGATTTACATTGTAATAAAGCTTTGTGTACTTTACAACGTGCACACACAACATCAGGGCTGCTGTGTGTATGTCTGCAAAATATTTTTCACAGGATTCAAATCTAATCACATATCTAATAAATCAGTGAGTGATAACTCAGTCTCTGTTCCAGATTAGCTGTTGATAGATGATTTGCCCAAACCACTATTTTCATTCACATTCATGTACATTCTCATTTGTCCTCAGCCCATACAACATTGTATGATGGGATAAGATCAGTCGGTTCTTGTCAGCTGTTTGATTGATTGATTAATCATATGTTGGTGTTTGCAGAAAAATGTAAATGTTCCACCTTCACAAATATAAATATTTGCTTGTTTTTCAGTTATGATAATTTAAAGCTACTCAACCTAATGTATTTTCAACCTAGAGTCTTGTGAGAGTCAAAACACATTGATGCCATGAGCTGCTCCTAGCCACTCTTTGGCCCTTCCATCATGTCCTGTTTCCTATCAATGATGTAAACTATGGTTTCTTTTATGTGACAAGCTGCAGCCTCCGGTCTGAAGCTAGCCTTAGCTGACTAATGATTAAATGTGTCAGTCCAGTAAAACACTATGGTTACTGCTGATGTGACACAAAGCGCTAACGTTACACAAAGCTCGAATTTTTCCCAAATTGAAATTATATTAATTCAATACAAAAGGTAAAATCATGACCATGCTAGGTTGCCAGTGTTGTGCCTGCTTTTAACCCTCTCCATGTCAAACAGCCAAAGCCCATGTTAACTCTGGTTGTTGCTGTTTCTTTGTCCCGCTCCCTCTCTCTGCAAAAGACACCACGGCAGCGGCTGGTTCAGACTTTTAGCTGCCCAGAGCTCCTCCATGGCTGGATGTTTGAATTGACAGCTGGTGGTTGGAAAAACCCTTCTTCTATCCTTGGCCAGGTGGCAGGTGGGGCTAATTTACTCACTGTAGGGTACAGAGGATGGACTAACAACAGAAGGGCAGTAGGCAGCAGAGGGTCATGGAGGGGGGCGTGTAGCTGAGAGACACCACGTCCTGTCCTGTCACTGTGTTTATCAGACAATGTGGAAGATCCTTTAAGTATCTTGGGTTTTTGGATTATTGATGCATATGAATATGTCTGTTTGGGCTTCAGGAAGCTACAGTGGATATTTCTCTTTACTGGACCAAATGATTAATCAGTTTAACAAGAAAATAACTGCCACTAATCAATCAAGAAAACAGCCAGCTGTTCCAGCTCTAGATGAGTTACCTAGGTGGGATTTGCAGGTGATATGGTTTTCCAGTGATTTTTTTTTTTTCATCCCTGTATTTTACACCGCTCTCATTCGTGTTGCCATGTCTAGACTGCTGTTTGCTCTTAATTTGTACAAGAAATACTAGAAATATTTGACATTTCCCAAAAAAGGTTGTCAGTCCTGGCTGTTCTAATTTACCTGCTTTAGTTGTCAGATGTCTGGCTCTGGTTTGTTAACTTGACCGGTGTGTGATTGACAGGAGGCTAGGCCTAAGGTAAGCAGAGTGTGTTGGCTGTTAATCAAAGCTCAGTGAGTGTGAAAATTTGTAAAACCTATTAAAATGTACTGTAACATCACCCTTTTCCCCTCTTATTGGAAACATGACAGTTCTGAGTGATTGTGCTTCAGACGAGGATTTGTTTGAAGGTGTTTGGAGCAGTTTCTAAAATGCGGTTTAGTGTTTCTGAAGAGGTGATTTCCTGGTTAGAGCTCTGCAGGCTTTGACATGTGCAAGGCAGGAACAGAAAGGTCGAAACATGCTGCTGGTTCTGTAATTGTATTGGATCTAAAAGGTACAAAACAGCAGTTGTATGGTGACTGTACAAATGACGGGGAGACTTCTGTAGATGCTGGTGTGATGTTTATATGACAGGTTGACCTGTCGGCCTCATTCAGCATTAAAACAGAGGATACTGTAGCCAACAGCCTGGTATGAATCAGACAGTTTAAATGTGTTTTTCTGCTGTTTTATGATGTTTGTTATTGTTGAAAAGGGACAGATAATCATCATTCACTTAAATATGTCAGTATTTAGAATTGTTGGTAATCAGGTCTTGTGCTGCAACTAATGGTCAGTTTCATTATCATGTAATCGGTCGCGTTCCCTAAGCAAATCATTTCTAAAATCTATAAAAGAAAGAGTGAAAAATGTCCATTGCCGTTTCAAAGCTCAAGGTGAAATCATTTTGTTTAGCCAATGTGGAAAGTCCAAAGTTGAGTTTACCATCAGTGAAGGTCAAGAAAACCAGCACCGTTTTACATGAGAGGCTGGAACCAGTGATGCTTTGGTTTCTGTCCCTAGTCTAATTAGTTCATCGACGTCTCAGCTCTAATCAGGCCACTGACAGTAGTCTAAGATTTTATCCTCATGTCAGTGTGAGACTGTGAAGAAACCCTTCTCCTCCAGACAGTGGCTGTAGAAGAGAAATGTAAAGTGCCATAGATGTGATTGTGGCCACTCTAATGCTGCTGCCTCCGCTCTGTAATTATATATAATCAGCGTCAAGAACATCCTGTCTGCTCTCGTCAATTCTGTATCAGATCCAGACAAGACACAGTATAATTGTGTAGGACTTTGTGTCTGTTTTAAGTCTGAACAGTGTTGAAGGAAAAATCACAGAAAATTAGTTTAATAAGTTTTTGAAATTAGAAAGTTGAAATGAGACTCGTGTGAAGTGAGATGAAGTTTTGAGTGTGGGGAGTTAGAAAAAGGCCTTCTGATAAAGGGTGACTTCTTAAGTAACATTTTTGTCTTCATGTTTGTTTCTAGGAGAAACCCCACCACTGCACCCAGGAGGAAGCCCCTCTAGGACTGAACCAAAATCCAGGTACAGTTCATTTAAAGTCTTATAATTTGGTTTGCAACGGTGGAAGGTAACTGGTGGAGTAAACTTTGTGTACAACACTTTATGTACAGTTTTTAGGTATTTACAAACTATTGCTAGTGGGCAGATTCTAATGGAAAAAATAGTGTATAATATTTTAAAACAGATTAAGAATCTGAAAGATTTGCACTGCCCATTAACTACCCAGCAGAAATTTATGTGAAATTGTGTAATGCCCAGTCAAGTTTAACTCGGATGTTGGCAAAGTAATTCCCGTGACATGAGGTAAACATGTACAGCGACAGTATGGAAGTCAAACAGCTAAATGAAATCTTTATTTTCTTGTTGGTCCTCACAAACATCCAAATATTAACATGTAGTAACAGCAGTGCATAGTCAACAATACAGGTGGATGTAAACTGTTTGAGCAAAAAAAAAAGTGAAACGACTGAAAACACAAGGTTCCCTCAGAGCAGGTTTGACTGTCAGGTCCAAGATCCAGTTGTTATCCACTGAAAACGCTGGGAGGAGGAAAGAAAATTAGGGTTAATTCCACTGAAGCAAAGTAGATCTGTGCTTAGACAACAGGGCATAATGTAACAAGTCTGGAGTAAACTTAATAACTTTGGTTGTTTTACCATTTTGTTTTTAATCATAGGTGAAATGACCCATGAACAGAAGCTCAGGAGCCTGTAGGAGCAGGAGGACTGTGGGAGATGCTCGTTTGCTTTCCTGTTGAGGGATAAGGTCAGTCATTTTCTATACTAATAGTCTCAGTCTCCATTAGCTTATATGTCTGTGCCACAGACCTCCATTGTTGTTCAAACACAAAACCACAGTGTGAAACGCTGCTGCACTGGGTGACACGTTTCTTTATGAAATGCCAGACCTCATTATGTTTTAAAACCGTTGCTCTAAACTAACTTTTTACACCGTCTTAGGCCATGTTCACACTGCAGGCTGAAGTGACCCATATCCGATTTCCTTATGACAGTGTGAACAGCACAAATCCGATTTTTTCAAATCCGGCCCAGGCCACTTTCATATGTGGTCCTAAATTGGATACATATCCAATGTTTTGCAATGCGACTTCAGTCTGAACGGCCAGGTCGCATTTCATGCGATTTTTATGTCATTGAAATGCGACAGACATCACAATTCTGCGCTGGAGGAGGCAAGGCCATAAGCAATATTTGTGCTCTCCTTCTTCTTGATATTATTTCTTTATTTCAATTGCACATTAACTGGTATATCGCTACGCACATGCTATCATGAGCTGCATCCATTTTTGCAAACACGGTACACTGCGTCTGACGTCACGTCCTCTTCTGCGCATGCGAGTCACCTCAGGGCCGAATACCGTTCACACGAGACAGATGGCAGTCGCATTTAAATGACAGTGTAAACAACAGCGCAAAAAAAAAATCGGATTTCGGCAAAAAATCTGATCTGGGCATTAAGACCTGCAGTGTGAACGTAGTCTTAGGTAAGTGAGACCCAACTGCTCATGCATGAGATCTTGTGCAGTTGGGTCTTGCTTAGGGCTGTACAACAGATTGTTTTGTGAGTGTGATTCAGATCCCTGTGCCATCACTAAGCTGTTAACCAATAGCAGGAAAGCGCTACATCACATGACGAGCTGCAGACAGAATGATTCAAAAACAAATCCAACATGTCTGACATTAAGAGATTCTGTGCCCTACAGCAAATTATTTTTCAAATGTTGCACTGCCTGCCCCCGTACACCTAGTGCCAAATAGCAGTTGACACAGAAAAATAAATGGCTTAGAAGTTTAGCGAGGAGAAAGGAGCACTTGATTTGATGCAAGGGATCTCACTGCTAATGCAGAACTGTTGAAACCATTGTCATGTGAGGGAGATTTAAATCACGCTCACAGAACTATTGTGCAGCCCTAGTCTTGCTACTTCAAATGCTGTGAAACAGGGGTGGCCAATTCCAGTCCTCAAGGGCCGCTGTCCTGCTTGTTTTCCAACTATCCCTGCCAGACCCGCTAGTGATTACCTGGCTCAGGTGTGTTCAGCCAGTCAAAAGCTGGAAGCTACCAATTCACTTTATCTTTCCTAACTCCATTTTCATCTAAGATGGTATCTTTCAGCTTCTGACTGACTGAACACACCTGAGCCAGGTAATTAGCAGCAGGACAGTGGCCCTCGAGGACTGGAATTGGCCACCCCTGCTAAAACATTACGGCTGTTTGGATCTTTCGGAGCAACAGTGTTAGATATTTGGGTCTGGTGTTTTGTAATGACGAAATGTGTCACCCAGTGCAGCGGTGCATTTCACTGATGTGTTTAATGGTTTGTGAACAACAGAGGTCTGTGGCACAGATGAATAAGCTAATCCTGGTTGGAGACTGACAGACAACTGTGTGTAGAGGAAATTCATTGTTGGTTGTTGTTTCTGAAGGGGGAGTATACTCACTGTTAATACAGAAAGACTTACCTTGTCCTTTAAACGAGAGAGGAGTAACACTCTCGTGGCTGTGAAGTATGAAGCTATAGTCACATGTCAACTCAGTACAGAGCCTGGAAAACAGCCAGCCATTAACTTGTGCTGGTAGATGGAGCTCATTACCTCTACACAGAGCCAGACCGTTTCCAGTCTTTGCACTAAGCTACCCATGTCCTGGCTGTGGCTTCAGATGTAATGGACATAGAGTGGCACTGATCTACAGGTTGGGTGAAAAGTAACTAGGCATTAAAAATTGGCTAAATAGATGATTTACACTGTTTTCATCATGACTCCAGTGATACAAGTTCTATAGCCAATTTTTAGTGCCGAGTAACTTTTCACCCACCCTGTATTTTAAGTTTGATTGCAAAGGCTAACTATTCCTGTTAAAACATGTCCTATCTTGGGCTCCTCACATTAGAATTTGCATGTTCTACGGGTGTTTTGTCCAGTATTTCCAGAAAAAGAAATTCTCTAAGATAACCATCATCTTTGATTAACCTTGGGTAAGTAGCTACCTAAGGATAATCACCTTTATTTGGCCAAGTATGTTACACACAAGGAATTTGTTTCTGGTACAGAACCAATGGCAGCCATCTGTGGTGCCACCTCACAACAATGCCTCTAACCGTCAGGGGCAACTTGGGGGGGTTCAGTGTCTTACCCAAAGACACTGAACCCCCCCAAGTTGTCCCCGACGGTTAGAGGTTAGTTAAAATTTTTAAAGAATATGGTAAAAAATTTAAATATTGCTGCTGACCTACAGACTTGTTTCTACAGGTGGGTGTCTTACCGTAGAAGCAGCTCCAGGAGTGCCAGGAGGTTCTGTTCCTCCTTCTGTTCTTCCCTGCAAACATCGTGAAGGCAAGTCACATCTACCACGAACTCAAGCCATTTCTAAATCTACAATTGTGTGTTTGCCTCAGAAAGCTCAAATGTTGGTGCAAAAGAAGGCAACTAAAGCACAGTGACAGACTCCAAATAAGAAGACTAATTTCTGACAAAACAGAGCCTGACTGATTATTTACAATCTTCTGTTTGTGTTATTAAAACATTTTACAGTTAAAAGAATACACTGGTCACCTTGGGCTCTGGAAAAGTAATAGGCAGGTTTCAATTAATTCTGATATTTTACAGACTAAACTACCAATCCGTGGTGAACAGAAGAATCAGTAGCTGCAGCCCTCTTCAAATGTAAAGTGACTTTACAACATTTATAATCATAAGTTTCTTACTCTTTTCGTCACAGGTGCAGCTTGGCTCACGCTGACAGGAGAGCAGACGAGACGGCGAGGTCTGGTTGGGGTCTTTTCATTGGTTTGAGTAGAGGCGTCTCGTCTGTTTACTCTTGGCTGTGTCTGTCTGAAAAACATTAAATACTTAATGATGCCCATTTCCTGTGAGACCAGTGTGTTTGTATACACATTTTCCATACATCTACTCTGTTTACGTGGTTCACTTTTTGTTGAGAGATCCTCTCCAAGCTTGTTTGACGATAGAACATAAACTGATGACCTACTTATCAGTAACTTCTATGGGTTCATAAATTCCAAGAAGTTTCCTGGAAATAAGGTCAAATAGAGAGTGATCAGCTGCACACTTGTTTCTAAACAGTGAGCACTTTGAGTCAGAGGGCAGCAGGTGAACAATGAGTCATGTAAAGTCAGTAATAAACTGTTAGCTCCAATATTTGTTTTATGGAAAATTGCAAACTTCTATGAAATAAAACATTACTGGGGTTTCCATCCAAAAGCTCAATGACCTGGTTAGACTCTCCTAAAACAACCTGAATTATACAAACATTTTTCATGTCTGAACTGCTCTGTGTCCTGCATCGGTGACAGATTGTTCTCGGTCTGTGTGATGGAGGTAGTCGCCTCAAACTGCTCAGGGATGCAGAGAAACTTTCCCTGTTCTATCGTTAAACTGTCATTCATGCAACTATTGCTTCACATCAAGTCTGAATAACGTTAAACAGGCGTAACTAAGCTGCAGCATAAATCTTGGCAGGGAGTGAAACTCGCACTGTAGTTTTGTAACTTAGTGAAATAAATTCCCCTTTATAATTCATTTCATAAGTCCTATTTCATTCCATTTTAAATCCTAAATGCTTATTAACGGCAGTGTAAATTGTTAAGTGAAATAAAAACTCCACTGACTTCTTTGTGCCTGTGGCCTCAGTCTGTCCTGCCTGGAAGATGCTGCTCTTCCTTGTGGAGCATCAATTTCCTCTTGCAATGATGTTTATTCTTGGCTGAGGAGAGCTGAGAGGAGTCGCCGCCTGCAGGAGAGGAGGAAATGTCCACATCACTGAGCTCATCTGAAACATCACTTCAAACTCAGTAGGAAAACTACCATGACTAAATCTTCCTGATTCACAGTAAAGTATTCTTGTGACTCTACCTGTGGCATCCAACTTCTTTGCTGTGTCTTTGTTGCCCCCTGCTGGTCTTTCATCAGACTGCCCCTGCACTTTTCCTTTTTTCCCCTCCTCCTCTTCCTCTTCTTCATTCTTTCCTGTTATCTGCCAGACTCGCACAGTTCACCACCTCTCCTGCTGCCTCGCTCTCCTCCTCTGCCACATCTTTAACCTTCTTTTTTCTTTGCTGCCATTCTCTCTAATGGAACTACCTGAGACATGTCCCCCTCCTCTTCCTCTACCACCTTCTCCTGTCTGTCTTTTTCCTCTTTTTGGTAGACAGAGGTAAGCAGAGTGTCACTGAGTGGATGTATGGTAGGGGTGTCTGCAGGCAGTGTTTCTGTGTCCTTTGCGCTCTTTTTTTTTTTTTTTCTTTGGGGGTTTCCATCAGGACTCGAAAGCCTGCCCTGGGACCAGTTTGCTGGGTTTTCACTTGGCTGCTTCACCATCATCAGCCTAGAAGACAAAGATGATGGCGTCTTCTTGCTCTTCTGCAGCTGCCACTGTCACCTTTCCTGGAAACAGAAGAACACAAAGATTTTTCTCTCTTGCTGTGAATATGAAGGTTATGTTTCTTCTGTTGTCACAGCAAAGACTTTTCAGACCAACAGGTTTTGTCTTTGCATAATAAATACAGTATCTGATATCAATCTGAAGTATTATGGGAGTTACAGCAGGTTTTCGGACATCAGCACTTCCTCATTAATATGCAAATGTTTGCATAAATGTGCTCCAATATTTTATCAGATCGTCTGCACATGTGGTTTAAGTACGAAGTTTCTACTGTGGCTCTCGGGTCTACAGAGGCTCAGGTGTCAGCGTAACGTCTCGTGTTTGACTCATGTTGGTGGAACATTTAAAACAAAGACTCGATCAATTACAGCAGGGGTTTTCAACCACTGGTCTCTGAAGGCCTTGGAGGTGAAATGATCTTTCAGTGAAACTGCATTACAGTTAACACATTTCCAAATATTAAATATTGTTCATGAACAGTCAAATAGAAATGCTCAAATATATAAACTTTCAATATTAAACTAGTGCCCATCCATCTATCCACCCCACAACAACATCCTCAGGTTCCTTCTTAGACAGAATGGTGGTCCCTGGGTCACAATTAGCTGAAAACCCCCACAGTAAAGGGTGAACAGCCAATATTTTAGGGAAAAGCATGGTGCGCATGAGAAGATTTAAAACTGACCAGTTTCACCAATGGAGAGGTCACCTGTGGCTGTCAACAAGTCTGTCTGGCCATTAGGCTTCGGTGGGACGGGAGGTCGGTGCCCTGGGGAGACAGACATACAGTAACCAGTTAGTGTTTTAAGATTATTATTCTCTCCTGCTTGTGGAAAAGGCCAAACAGCACTAATATGCTGGTCTATGACCACTGCACATCACTTCCTCAAAAAAAAAAGGTTTCTGGTGCCTTGGAGTCCTCCACCTTTTGCTTTGCTTCCTCCTTTGGATTTTCAGGGTCTAATAAAAAGCAGAGATCCTGAATATGGTCTGCATTAATCCTTATTCAAAACTATTAAAAACAACACAGAGCAAACTAAGAAAAACTGAATTTTATTGAAATAAAATGAAGACAATGTGCTGCGTGTTTTTTTTTTTTCCACAAATGTTTCTCATTGGACTGTGTGCAAATCACTGAGCACGAGCCCTGCATCGGCTCCGTGAAGCACAGAGGTAACAGCAGCACACTGTCAAATGATTTATTATGGAGCCAAAATCCAGGGACAACGTGTTAAAGTGAAAGCACTTTTTCCAACATGGTCCCATGAGCTAATGGATTCCTGAAACCATCAGCACAAATTAAAAGCAGCCACATCATGACATGACCGCACACTGGCCCCGAGACTACAGCTGTGCTGAGAATGTACAGTTGTTGTTTCTGGACACAAATATCAGGGAGCAAACCCAGTAATAATACTGCACACATGATGCAGCTTCTCTTCACCCTGAGCTGAACTGGCAGCCGCCCCGCCCGTCTAGACTCATCCCTACCAACATGAATTCATTTTGCATCACCTGTTTGCTGCATCGATGACGACACGAGACGTTTCTTAGCGAAGCCTTGTTCTACTGAACACATGAAAAGTTAAACTACCTGAGCTTTAACACACGAGACACATGGCTCTCCTGCTGTGTTGATGATGAACTTGAGCAAGATTAAGTCTGTCGTGTTTTAGATTCAGCCCATATCGATGAGCGTTAAGTTTTCAGTGACTTGTTCAAGTCCGTCCATACTACACTGCCTGTGGCATTTTTACTTAAGAACAAATCTCGACACGTCTGCAGCATCAGTGCACTTGTTTCTCCAGTTTCCTAAATGAATCCACTTGCTAAGCCTTTCCCACAGCAGACATTTAATGGTGGCTCTGTTCCGGCAATTACTACGAACTCCAACTGCAGCTTCTGCACCATAGGCATGAATTCATGTAAAAGACCTTGGCAGAAGAGGCGACTGTGTTCCACATGAATAACTCTCAGTCCCGGCATCGCTCCAGTTTGATTAACAAGCTGTGACAAGCTTAACAAACCCCAGTGAGATGTTAAACAAGTGACTGACGTTGTGGAAAAAGGAGCTGCCAGGGCTGTTTCTCTGGGCTTTGGCAGCAACACTTCAAAATCTTTACAAGTTTTGTCATCAGGTCCAAGTGCCTCAAGATAAAACCTTCAACTTCATGTTTTATCTTATTTTTCTTCAAATAAAATGATCCAGAAGTTCTGCACTCAATCGGCTTGATACACAACACTGCCAATAAAAACAAAACACAGCGTGCTGCTTTTTTTATTCTACTGTACAAACGGAAAAAAATGAGTGTGAAATTAAATGCGGCAACAAAGCTTTGCAAGTAAGAATTGATTTGATTCATTTCTGGCAGTGCATTTCAGGACGCATCAAACCACAGGCAAATCAAACTGAAACTATCACCACAGCTAAACTCAGTTAAAGTTTGGTTTTGGAGAACAAACCTCTTAAGGTTTTCTTCAGGAAAATCAGTGGATTCAGAATCTGCCCGGTTTAGATTACAACATCAGGGAAAGTAGCAGCAAGGCCCGTTCCTTTACGGTAAAAATAAAACCCCTAAGTTAAAAAGAAATCTTCGTGTTTTCCTGTGGACACAGAAAGCCCCGATGCACTGCTGAAAGCAGCATCAATTCACATTAAATGAGATCCAGGCTATAAATATGAGGATTTGCTTATTTTCTTTGTCTTATATGATGATAAAATGAATGTGTTAGGGTTCGATCACAAAAAGCAACATGATGTTGCCTCCTTTTTGTCAACACTTTTAGAGCACAGGATCAATCAGTATATCAAATAATCTACAGATTAACTGAATTGGTGAACTGCTGCTGTAATAACAAGCAGCCTGAATCCTCCGAGTAGTTTCTTCACAACAGCGTGTGAATCCTGTCACTGCAGTGAGAAACAGACAGAACAGACACCATACATAACATGTAAAGACCAACCTGGTCAACGAACGTCTATTGGTTGTGCAAACCTGCAGGAGGCGGGGCCTCGCTCTCTGCCAGTTGGGCACTGGTCTCCTGAGCTGTCAGAGGGGAGGAGGTGGGCTCTACCAGGCTGGTCTCCTGCACAAGAAATCAACAAGGTCAACAAGGGTCTCAAACACCAGACATGAAACTTTTTTTTTGTGACACAAACTGAATCCTTCCTCTCAGTGTGAACAGCAGCAAGCTGCACTAAGCTGCTGTTGTAACAGCAGACGCACGCACCATTAGTCCCATCTTGGATGGTGGACAAGCTGGAGTCCACCATCCACCTCGTCTGTTTGTCTCTGGATTGTGTTACCTGCCGAGCTGTCGTGACTCCAAAAAGCAGAGTCATCAAACCCAGTCTTAAAGAAACAAGTGAATGAACTACTGCAAAACCCCAAAGTCCTCTGTAAGGTTTAGAGCAAACAGACGTCATTATCAAACTATCAGATTCTTGTCCCTGGCAAAACTGAGCTGGATCACATTACAGTTTGTTCCTAAAAAAATTTTTTTTTAAAATTACTATTTGTACTTGATTCTATCTTAAACCTATGCATTTTCGTTCTACCTGTACAGCAAACAATATTAGATACTTTCAGCTCTAAGGTACAGTGAATTATCATTGTGCAGTGTATATTCAGAGCAGGCTCCTAGTTTGTGTTTCGTCTTTATACAAACAATTGTTTGACTTTTAATTATGCTTTCTTTGTTACTTCCGTCCATGATTTATTATTCTCATGGCTTATGTGACCTGGCCACATCGCAAACAGTATTCTACACTGATCATTATAAAACTGCATATGACATTTGTTTTCATTACCGGTCATTTCAAGTAATTTTATGTTTATAAAAAAAATAATAAAAAAAAAGAAAGAAA